TAACTGATTAGTTTTATCCATTATTAAAAGATATTTGTTACATGCTTGTCGATTTCAATAGATTCAATAGCTTTCATAGCAGAAATCTGTCTTCGTTATTTATTAGCAGCTTCTTGTCCAATTTATTTCGTATAAATAAATCATCCTCATGTTGTGCCTCACCAAATTTTTGCGAATTTCCTTCGCCGTTTCAACAACGGTGGTTCAGCTTCGAAAAGTTGCGACACTTGCGACAGTTTAACGAGATCAAGGCACTTGCAAGCGTAAGATATGCTGCATTAAGATACACGAGATGATTGTTGGATGGATATCTGACGAGAGTGCCGCAGGAAATCCCGTGGAAGTTGCTGCCATTTTCAGATGTTTCCTTCATCTCTCTCTCTCTCTCTCTCTCTCTCTCTCTCTCTCTTGGACTCATGTTTTCCCTACGCTCGGTTGCGAGAGTCGAGGGTACTTTCCCCAGACAAATTTTAATTACGGCCGCTTTCTCACCCCAGGCAAACGCAAGACAAGTTTCCGCGTTTCGAGATTGCGACTTTGACAGTTAACATTTTATAAATTGCATAAACTATTATTTTCAAATTATGACGAATTGAGCATTAAAACATCGCGTCCGATTAAATTCACTTATACTGTCAATTCAAAACACAAAGATCTTAAGCAGATATTCTTCTGATAAGATTTAAAATTGACGAAATTTTACAAAAGTAAAATTTAGTTTAGTAAGTCAATCTTAAATTGAGATAAATTCTCGCAGTTCTTAATTTACTTAATTTAATTTTTTTTTTAACTTCTTTGTCGTTACGGAAACAAAAATTAATTGGAAACGGGGAAGACTTAGGAAGACAGGAAATCCCTTCTCAAGAAACCGCGCAGACTTGGTCCTAGGCGTTGTATCATCTCGGCTCGGGGTAACTCGAGGTGCATATTTCATCCCTTATTATTCGAGGGAACCGCGTGTTTCGTCGCCCAACCGCACCGACGAACGGCCGCACTTTCATAACGCAGCTGCGAGCTTCTCTCCTTTCGTCTCGTTGATCCGTTAATTTATTTTATACGACCGCGCGTCCCGCAAGCGGAGCGCAAACGGCGCGGACAGCGTGGCTGCATTAGCGCGTTAACTCGCGAAAATTCTTTTTTCGTTGTTTATCGTCCGACAAGTTGGTTATCTTTGCGTCTGTGCCCGAAATACGTGTGCGCGATATAATTTATAATTTGCCTCGGCAAGCGCGATTGCTATCACGAATGAGTCGTGTCAAAATACCACTCTTTGCATTATAATATTTTATATTTCACCCTTTAGGAGAAATGCATGCAAAATTTGTCAGACGACTGCTAGTCTGTTTTAGTTTAATTAAAATTTGTCACGCGAGAGTTGTCAAAATCTCTTGAACCTGTATAATTTTTAGTACAAAAAAAGAAAGTATTCTCGTTCTATAAAGATGTTATTTTGTTTATTTAATTATCTCTTCATTTATCTTTCATTTAATTATCTCTAAATTAATCAAAATGAATTATGAATACCGTAGACGAAAAATTCTAGAAATGCTTTGTAAAAAATTTTAAATTCTAAAGAAAAAAAAAGGAACAAAGTACAGATGTAAAGTACAACTAAAGAATAAAACTAAAATTGGGAGATAACTAAAGAATATAACTAAAGGAACAATTCAAAAAATCAAAAGTATAATTAAGAAACGTAACCAAAAAGAAACGGGTTCTTTTTACATTGAGTTAAAAAGAGTAGTCTAGGGAAAATGACAAGAGGTCGCGAAACAATTGCTATCGCTGCTCGCCGAGTCAGCGCTAACTGCAGACTACGCCCGAGAGGGTGGCAATGAAGTAACAAGAGGAAGAGAGTCCTTCAGGACTTCGACGGACCAGCGGCAAGCGGAGTTATGATCCCACAATATCCTCTTATGATTGGATACTCGCAACTTTCCTGGCCACCTCTTTCCTCCCTCGATGCGACTCTTCACCCTACGAATTTTAACATCCGTTGCACGTTCAACCTCGCCGCGGCGACTCGTCTTGTTTCTTCTTCTTTCTTTTCTTACTCAAAAAGGCCAGAGAGAAGAGACGAAAAGAATTGCGGCTTTTTTGCATAACGTTATAAGAATACCGCCACCGTTTTGTTTCATTCGTCCTGACTTCTCGGTTGATTCTTCGTGCGAGACACTTCGCATCGATTACCAGCAATCGAAGCATTTGCTGTGAACGGTGTTGCATAAACAGCTACCCTTACTTACAAGCTAACTTACGTAAGTACGAATTCAGCGATGAGAAACGGAGAAACACGCGCTAGCCTAATTGCAGCGCGAAACTATTCGCTGTCGACATCTCGAAACAGGAATCTCTCCGGACATCATCAGAATTGCCAAACACACCACCCCCGTCATTGCATCCCGGATCCCAGTCACGTGCGACGCGTATCGATTCTTCGATCACCTTTTTCTCCCTCTCCATCGTTCCCTCTTTTTTTCTCTCTCTCGCAGAAGATGGGTATTCGACTTCGCGCCTCCTTTCTCGACCTCCGACGTCGAGCGGAAAATTAAACAAAAAATCGTCATGATCCCTTTCAGCGGCAGGCAATCATGGAGCTCGCCCTCTCCACATATAGCTAGTCGGGATGATAGGAGGAAGAAAAGAGAATGTCTAAGGACTTGCACGACTGACTCGCGCAAGTCCCTTTTCATCGAGGATTTAATATCAGTCTGTGTAGTAGCCAGAGCGGCACATCATTTGATCTGCGTGAACCCTTTTCCTCTCTCCATCGGTCTTTTCTTCACACTCTCTTTACAAAAGTGTCACTTTGTTTCATTACGATGATTATTAATAAGAAATTCTGCTATGTCACATTTCAAATCTTTCTTCAATTTCAAAATATTTCTGATAAAATCTTTCATTGTTGTCGATCGTTCTAAAACTCTAATGCGGAATACATGTCAGATTTCGGTTTTTGTTAGACTTGGGTGTTAGTCTCAAAGCATACAGTAGGTAGCTATATTCTCTTTTCAAAAAAAGACTATTGTACACTCAGAGAAAAACATATTGGTTGTAATTGTATAGGTGTGTGATAATATACAAGTTTTATATTATATAGAATTAATGTTTTAAATTATATAGAATTAAATAGTTGAATAAATTATATTTTATTGTAGAAAATCGTAATCTCTAAAAGTATATTATTAACCAGTATATTATTAATAAAAAATAGTAAATATTCACTAATAATTACATCAGTTATAAGTGTCTAAACTGAAGTCAGTAATAATACGTTGATTCACTTTTAGAGAATTGTAGTAAAGGAATGATATATGAAACTACAGTTGACACTGAGAAAAAAATTTGTACAAGTAACTAAACACATTTAATTGTTTGCAGATTCGGTTAATTCAACAAATTTTAATTGAATTTAATCGTAGTCCGCTTAACATTGAACAATTTGTTTTAATTAAATAAAATTTATTGAATTAACCAAATTTGCAAAACAATTAAATGTGTTTCGTTGAACAAATTTTTTTTCTCAGTGTACCTATAAACATATATCACTCGTCGCCACTACGTCTTCTTCCTGAATGTAAACATAGAAAATAAATATAACTTTTACTTGTTACAGTAATCCCGAAAAGCAATATTTTTTTTTTTTTGACAAAGCGAATAAAAATGGTAAGAGATGTGAATTTTTCCCAGTGCAATGAATAACAGAACGACGTGACAACCAGTCGTACAAATCAATAATTTGCCGCTCGAAATATCTTTCGGTTATACCGTTAAATAATAGCGCGCCGATCAGGCAAAATAACACGATGGATAATGAATAATGAATAATGATGTCCGTAATATCGTTGGTAACGAGGATGTTTCGCGGTGCTGCAGTGTGGTTGGGAGCGCAATTCAGTGGTTAGAGGATTCAATACAAAGCATTACGAGTTGTTATAAAAGTAGGACATTATCGTTAGTAGCGAGAGTGAACGTAAACCTCGATAAACACGAAGTGTACCCAATATTTTTTTGCTGATGCCTATCATACTTTCGACTCGTCGTAATCTCACCCTCGATATTATCGGCAAATTGTTTCCCAACTGGAGAACGAGAGCGATCGAATGACCTGTATATATTCTGCCGATGCCGACAATGTCTTTTATTACAAGGAGATATGTAACATTGATTGATAATATGAGTTTTATAGACTGAATAAAAACCTTCACTTTAAATGACAACATTTCAAAAGAAAGAATATATTATTTTTTTAATATTAATGCTCTTAATTAATGTAAATTTTTAATTATTAGTTTTTAATCGCGCATTGATATATCAGTCTCCCTACAACACAATTTTTATTATACTTGTAAATTCGGGTCTTTTTTTATTTGATCTAAATTTTTTATTGTTCTAAGCATTCAAGAAAAACGTAGAAAAAAATCAGAATTATTTTTCAACATTTCTATTATGTTACTCTAAAATAATTTTAATTCAAATGTTAAAACTATTATTTACTAAATATTGAAATTTAAGCAAAAATGAAAATGAAATTTAAGAGTAAAATTTCGTTTGTGGAAAAACGACTGATTGCAGACGGATGATTAAAATTTCATAATCCGAAATAGATCCAATTTATTCCTTTTTATTTTATTTAAGTCTATAATTTCAGAGACGCGCATATTATTTCAATGCCTGATATGTTATCCAGAAACAATTGTTTCCGTCAATGAACTGCAGGATCACGGAACGTTCTGAAGACTTCCTGAGATCTTTTTCAACCCTTCAGGGAAACAGCTCGGTCTCAAGAATATTATCTTTCTGCGTCAGGTATACGCCCGGTCGACCCCGTAGCTTCGTAATCCGCACGCGCGCATCATATGAGCTCGTAAAACCGCTCTGTTCGTGCTCGTAAACATTCCTCGAGACTCTTTTCCTGGTACGAGTGGTGCCCTTTTACGCTAACCTGACCGATACGAGCGGTATTACTTGCATGACTGGTCGGCGGAAATCGTGCTTACCTGGAATCCCGAAGCCACCGCGTGATCGCCGATACGTTGCCCGCTCATCGACGATGCGTGTTCACCTAGCACTCGAGCTTTCATTGATGACTGCAAGATTGCCTGTGAAAAAAAAAAAAACAAGAAAAAAGATGTGTTACTAAGGTATCGAAAGTTTTTCCTAGAATGGAGAACGCGGTGAAGTCTCGTATCGGATGTTTACGATATTTTATGCAAACTTTTAACAGTTGAGAAGTATATAGTATTATATTATATATATATTCAGTTAAGATATTGGTACTTAATATTTTTGTGTGTGACTTACAATTTCCAAGTTTAAGTAGACTGCCCGAGTCGAAATTTTTCTGTTACTTTGAACTTTAGTTTTAGGACGTACGCAGACTCTAAAGATAATGTATATAGACTCTAGAGATTTATAATAGGTTCTAATCTAATGAATTGAACTCCTACGTTCAGCCTGTAAATGGCAATTATTGCAAGATTTTCTATTTATAGGTTCAAAAGAAGTTTTCTAAATAGAAGCTATAGATTAAGTAATATTAAAAGATAGCCCTATTTGATTGTACACACACAAGTATCAAAACAGATTTATATATTTAATTATTATATATTTAATGAGGTTCAAAGTAAGACTTAAAAAATTTTTGTTGTCAATATTTATCAATATTAAAACATTTGTCAGTCCTGGACTGAAGCTGATTATGTAATATCGCAAATTAAATTTGCTAGGCAATTTAATATGACTGATGTTAATGAATTCTATAAAACACTAAAGAATTTATTACGAAAAGTATCACCTCAGCCGGAATTCAAACCTAGATTCAAACTCTCTTTAGTTTTAATTCAATGAAAAAGTCAATTAATCTGCAGACGAACGTAAGCGTAATTCACATGCAACGTTCCACGTTTCCCAACGTGATTTCTCATACACGAGAACCATTCATTTAATGTTCCGAAACTATAAATTATTTTCTCACGTGTGCTTAGCCGGTTTCTATTTTACGATACCAGGAAACCAAAAGATTCGTCACGCCGCGTCAACCGGTTGAGTTTGATAATTAATCAGGGTTCCTTCATTAGCCATTCACCAGCGCAGTGTGCAACTGACATGAGCATAACGTCTCCGGTTGCCGAATCTCTCGAGACGGAATTACGTTACGTCGCGTCGCCTGTCGTACGCGCGATTATGCACAAGCTACCCCCGTTGGTCCTTCAACACCCTCGCGAACCAGTCCATCCTGCTCGATCCCGCCTCTTCGGCGAGTGTGTCGTGGAAACATGCAGCTCCTCTCCGTCTGCAGCGCGGTGGCGTGTTTCGGACAGGTCACTTCATGTATTAATCATACGAGCGGCGAACATAAAATGTTCGTCGCTCGACCATTTATGTTCGCCGCTCGACCAACTTCGAGAAAGCGTAACAACAGCTGCACTCAACAGAGGAAACTGCCGTAGCGAGAGTTCCAACTTAATTTACTGAGTGCTGATCCCAACAATCATACTCGATTATTATTCAGCGATTATATACACAATTGTTGTCTGTATTTTATGTAATTGTTAAGAATTATAATTGAGATTTCATTAAGTGAAATATTCAGTGCGATAATTTATCGAGTTTTAAGTAGATATTTCTGCACGAGTTAAGTTTCAGAGAGTTACATATAAGAACGATAAAAAAGGATGATTATACGCCGTTCTGTTTGAGGTAGGATTTAAATTTGTTCCGTAAGTTAAACAAATATTTTCGTTAATTTTCAAGAGGTACTACAATAATTACATCCGCTCTACGTATTTTACAACTTATTTTCAGTCCATTCTCTAATCTCACCTCGGTGCATCCTCGAAGATTATGTCGCGAAACGCCATGCCGTTGCAACAGCGTAATCCGCCACGCGCAAATCTCGCGAATCCTGGCAGGATGCGACGTCAGTTGTCCAGGAAATATTATTCGTAAAGAGGAATTTTCAGCATGATGTACGAAGAGCTTTGATTTTGAGGACGCGCATCCAACCATAAGCCGTGGCTGAATCAGTGCTCGTCCTTCGTCGAGGAATTATGAAGTATCAACCTTACCGACTAGTCTACTTCAGCGATGTTTAACTCGCAACATTTAATACAGGGAAAATGCAAAGCAATACACAAACGAAATAGAGGAAGACAACCGAATGTGTGTTTAAGCTATTATTTTTATCTCATTTCAAAAAATTTACTTTACCATTGCTTCAACATTTATAAGGTGTCTGCGAAAGGTGTTGGAATTGAATGTATATACGATATAAGATAGAATGGATGAAAAAAGTTCATAAATTTATATCGAAAATGCTTTATTAAGAAATTATAAGTATCAAATAATCAAAAATTTACGAACAGAATACATTTACTATTTCTAGTAAGAATATTCAAAAGAGTTCAGCAATCGTCACTTTTTAATAAAATATTTTTGAAAAGAACGATTTTATAAGAAGATTTACAATAGAATTTCGCTGGCTGCAGATCTGAAAATAATTCCGTTGAATCATCAAAATAATTATTTGACGCAGTCATATCTAAGATAATTAAATTTAAATTAAAAATATTGTATATAATGTATTCATAACATTTAACTTTAACCGATTATTGGCGTTCTCTTTCATATTTATGTACAAACAATTTTGATATTCTATCAATCAGTCTGAGTTTCCAATATACCTAATTATTTTAATGGTCAACCAAAACTATTTTTTTTCATGCGGATATGAGTTTATATGAACTTTCTTCATCTACTCAACACATAATCTCATTAAAACTGTATAAGTTTAGTATCGATCTTTGCAGATATTCTGCATATTCCTTCGTTGAATATTTAATTTTGTCAAAAATTTTATGCGAACGAACGTTGCATGCGTAGTTTATATACCCGCGTCATCTGGTAAAATCTTAAATCCGCTACTTGATTTACGTGTGTCCTTTTTCAAGGATCACGTGTGCGTGTGGCACTGACTGTAGATCAGCGCGACAGGATTTCCTTCTCGCGGGAGTCCATCTCCCGCACTCATTTCCCACCGTGCAGAATCCCAGTGCAGCGTGTGCATAATGCATGGCCGATACGTGTTCGCGTTATGATATTTCTCGCGATAGAACTGGCTGTTACCCGCGCATTCTACATGTATCCAGACTTCCGACGGATAACTTCCCCAGCTTCTCACAGGGACCAGCTTCTCTTCTATCGTTCTCGATTTCTGCTCCTTTGACCGTCCGCGGATCTCGAGATTACTCGATGTTTCTTGATTTATTTCATATATCTTCCCGCGCGAAGGGATACGAGGGATTTACTGTCCATTTTTTAAAATCTTAAATATTTTGTTGGCATTTGGCGAATCACGATCAGATGAAATTTGTTGCTCGAGGATGTTTACAATTTCGAATAGGTTCTTTGAGATATATTGTATTTCTGAAGAATGCTGTACCAGATGTGCGATATTCGACTTCGCGAAGAATTCTTCAGAATAGAATGCACTTTTCTGCAGAATAGTTCCAAAAGATTTGTCTTTCTTTTGTAAATATATATCTCTATATTATTTTTTATCAATAAAATGTATATATATATATGTATTCGTAATACAATTAATTTAATTGTATTACGAATACATATATATATACATTTTATTACAATTAATTTAATTATATACATAATTGAAAAATTTGTGTTAAATTTAACACCTTTCACATGTCCCAAACAGTCCACTCAAATTTTTGTGTCTATTTAACACAAGGTGAATAGTTAGAAATTACGTAAAAAATAACAATGACACAAGTTGGAAGCTATCATTTTTTTATCAACATTTATAATAGCTATATTAAAATAATATGTTTCAATAAATTTAACATTTTTATGATAAATTAAATTAACACATTTTATTCATTTATCTTAGAATTTAATCTTTTAAGAAAAATTATGTTTATATTATTTGTTCATTTATAAATTGTGTTATTTAATACTAAGAAACGTTGAATGTTAATTTAACACAAAATATTCAAATAACACAATCACATTATTAATTAACACTCAGATATAAAATTCGATACAAAAATTACAATAAGAATTTGAGTGTCTAACACAAATACAAAATGTTTTTTACTGTGTAACGTTACTTTATAATAATATAAAATTGATATTATATATAATAAATTTAACATTATAAAGTAATATTATATAATCGAATTAATTTTAATTACGAAAGATTAATATTTCTCTCTCTCCATTTAAAGCTTTGCAAAATTACTTGTGATAATTCAATAATTTGCGTCTTATTGATGTGAACTGATTCGGATTCCTTTCGTGTTAACTTAGTAAAGTGTACAATGCAGGCCGATATTAATATTTCCTATTCCATTTGCGTGGAAGTCATCTGTAGAAGAACTCAAAGTCAAAGCAAATAGTCCGAAACATTTAGCTTCTTTGAGATTCGCCGTGGGACTTTGTAGACTGGATTTCTGATTACCCGAAGGGCTTTTCTATCAAGAGAAATATCCAAAACGACTCGCGGCACTGGCTTTCGAGTTAACAAGAACCACAAAGCAAATGAGAGCGACGTTAGTACAGTTGGCATTATGGTCCAATTTCGCTGTAGGTAGCTTAGTAATAATAACATTATGCACTGTAGAGATGTGCTGCAGAGGTCAGACGGAATTCCGGAGAAGCCGCATGCACCTCTATATGGATACAGTCAACCATGTAGAAATTTTGAGAAACAGGCGATTATCAGATCGCATTTGTAGCTCTTATAAGACATTTCGAATTATTATAATAATAAAACCGCATCTTAGTGAGTTTTAATAGAACTTAATAAAAAGTCCTAGGAATAAATTATTAAGTTAGTTTTCATAGATATTTTTGTTAATAATAAAAAATGTAATGCGAACATAGAAAAACTGAAAAATGAGCACAACTACATAAAAAGAACAATTTTGCCAAAGTATCTAAAAATTTATTCTAAATACAAATCTGAGGATAATTTTGTTAGATTATGCCAAAATAATTATATAGGACTTTAAAGTTAGTTGTTAGAATGTTAAAACTATTTGTAGCATGCTTGAGTTTCCTCACTGTTTCCTCATAGTTTCAA